TTGCTCTCTCCCTCCCTCCATCTCCCTCCCTCTCCCTCCCTCCCTTTCTCCCTCCCTCCCTCTCTCTCCTCCCTCCTCCCTCCCCTCCTCCCTCCCCTCCTCCCTCCCCTCCTCCCTCCCCTCCTCCCTCCCCTCCTCCTTCCCCTCCTCCGCCCCGCCGCCTCGCATCAAAGGCAGGCGCGATGCGCATGCTGCCACACTCGCCCGGCGCCTCCGCCCACCCATGCGCCCTTCACGTTCCTGACCTCGCCTGCTCCCTGCCCCGTCGCTCGGGCATTCCCCAGGCACCCGGGTCCTGGCCAAGGTCAGCGACCCCTTCACCAAGGGCAACACCAGCTACGTCGGGGCCAGCCGGCTGTACTATGTGACCGTCGATCGCCGGTATGACTGCTCCTTCGAGATGAAGAAGGAGGGTCCGATTCACTCGTTCTGCTGGGCCCCCTCCGGGCGGGAGTTCGTCGTGACCTACGGCTGTACGTCGACGGCCCGTGTGCCCCCATCTGTCGCCTCCGGCCGCAGTTGGCCGCTTTGCCAAGACTCTCGCCCTCTGACCCCGCCGCGACTGACATTGGCCCCGGGCCTTGCCTTCCACGCACGCACGCACGCACGCACGCACGCACATCCAGACATGCCCAACCCCCAGACCACCCTGTTCAACCTGCGTGCCGACCCGGTTTTCGAGTTCGGCGACAACGCGCGCAACATCGGCGCCTTTAGCCCGGACGGCCAGCACCTGATGATCGGTGGCAATGGCGCCATCGCCGGGCGCATGGAGGTCTGGCGTCGGGCCGACACCGCGTGGAAGCGCGTGAGCCAGATCAATGCGCCGAACTTCACGGCCTTCCAGTGGTCCCCCTGCGGGGCCTTCCTCCTGGGAGCCACCCTGACCCCGCGCCTGCGCGTGGACAACAGCATCCGCGTGTGGACGCGCCTCGGCAAGCTGGTCCTTTGCCAGGGCTTCGACACCCTGCTGGAGGCGTCCTTCCTGGCCACGGGCCCCGCCGCCGACACCGGCGCCGTCATCCCGGACCATGCTCTTCCGACCGAGCCGTACTACATCACCCCGGACACCAAGCTCCAGCTGGCCCTCGGCATCCAGGCCGCCGGCGGCGCCGGCGCCGGCGACGGCAAGGACCAGGGGGGCGCCGGGGCCGGGGCCTCTTCCCGGCCGGCCACCGCCCCGGCCAAGGCCTACGTGCCGCCGCACCTGCGCGCGGAGATGGCCGCCAAGGAGGCCGAGGCCGCGGCCAAGCGCGAGGCCCAGGCGGCCAAGCGCGCCGCCCGGGCCGAGGCGCGCAACCAGTTCCCCAAGCTCGACCTGCCGGCCGATGCCGCGGAGCTCGGCAAGATGCTCAAGCGCACGCAGAAGCGCCTGCGCGGCGTGCAGGAGCTCCAGGAGAAGATCCTCGCGGACCCCACCTACCAGCCGAACCCGGAGCAGAAGGAGCGCCTCGCGGGCGAGGCTCGCATCCTCAATGAAATCGAGCAGATCACCGCGGCCATGAAGGCGCTGTAGGCTGGCGAGCGTGCCGAGCTGGCGACTTTTCTTTCGGAGGGGGGGGGGGGGG